ACAACGGTTCAGCACGCAATGCAGTTCGTAACAATCAAAGGATTGATCGAGGGCAAAATTCTCAGGGACTTATGAGTAAGAGAGGCTTCGATAAATATGCCGATCCTATAGAAGCACCTCGATTATCAGAATATAACTTCAGCGTTGGTGCATCTGCTATAACAAGCAAGTGACATACGTTCCCATAGACAAGCTTATATGGAGATGCCCCAATTGGTGTTTTGTATGCAGTTCTATATGCCCATAAGGCATCATGTAAATTTGCAGCCCAGTCCTTCCTATTCACACTCACCATTTGCCCACAAGGTATTCACCCGAATTGTAATACCTTTGCAGTTGTTCTATCGCCTCCATGATGGTCCCCATAAGGTGATGTATGACAATCATACAACACTAATTCCACCTCCTTTTTGGGAATGCATCTCCTCATCAACTGATCAACACACTGCTTGTACAAGTATGGCTCATCCAGTAGTAGAAGTTCACATCATGTAGAAACCTCTTTCTAGCATCAGATTCAATTTTAGGAGGAAGTACCCCACTTACAAGATAATTCACATAGTCTGCATACCATGGGGGAGGGTCTTGGGTGGTAGTAAAAAGTTGCTCATAAGGAAATGCCTCTTTAATTTGTCCACCCTCCTCCACATGGTCATGATTTTTCAGCCTCGATGGATGGTTAGCTACTTGGTTCTCTGTGCCCTTCCTATCTCATATTTCTACATCAAATTCCCGCAACAACAAAACTAGCGCATCAATCTAGCCTTGGATACTTTTTTTTTTGTAAATAAATACATGATTACTGCATGATCAGTATGGGCTATGACTTTTGTTCCCACCAAGTATGCCTGAAATTTCTCAAAGGCCCACATAACGACCAACAACTCCTTTTAAGTGGTGGTGTAATTCAGCTGTGCATCATCAAGAGTCTTACTCGCATAGTAGATAGAATAAAACATCTTGTCCTTCCTTTGGCCTAGCACTGCCTCAATATCATGAGCACTTGCATCACACATAAGCTTAAATGGTAAGGACCAATCCAGTGCCGCAATAATGGGGGCAGCCACTTACTGCTTTTTGAGCTCTTCAAATTCCTTCAGGCAGGCGTCATCAAAATTGAAAGTTACATCCTTTTCAAGCAACCTACACAAGGGAGTAGAAATTTTTGAAAAATCCTTAATAAAGCGTCTATAGAATCCTGCGTGTCCCAAGAAACTCCGGACACCCTTCACAGAAATGGGTGGAGGTAATTTTTCAACCGCCTCCACCTTCGCCTTATCAATTTCAATGCCGCTCCTTGACACTCTGTGGCCCAACATGATGCCTTCTTGAACCATAAAATGAAACTTTTCCCAATTCAACACTAGATTTATTTCTTCACAACAGGCCAACACCTTGCTCAAATTATTCAAACAGTCATCATAAGAAGACCCAAATATTGAAAAATCATCCATAAAGACTTCCACAAAATTTTCCACCATATCGGTAAAAATAGCCATCATGCATCTCTGGAAAGTGGCTGGTGCATTACAAAAACCAAACGACATTCACTTGAAGGTGAAAGTACCATAAGGACAAGTAAAAGTGGTCTTCCTCTGATCCTCTAGGCATATGACAATCTGGTTGTACCCCGAATAACCATCAAGGAAAATAGTATTCATTCCCCGCCAATATGTCCAACATTTGGTCAATGAATGGAAGTGGGAAGTGGTCCTTGTGGGTTGCTTTGTTGAGCCTTCTGTAATCAATGCAAACTCTCCACATCGTCACAGTGCGAGTAGGAATTAGCTCATTTTTCTCATTCTCTACCAGAGTCATCCCCCCGTTTTTAGGCACACATTGCACTGGGCTTACCCAGTTGCTGTCAGAGATAGGAAAGATGATACCTGCATCGAGCCACTTAATTCTTCCTTCTTCACGACCTCTTTCATAATGGGATTTAATCTCCTTTGCTGCTCAACACTGGGGCGGTGTCCATCTTCCAAAAAGATTTTATGCATGCAAAACGATGGACTGATTCCCTTGATGTCAACAATTGTCCACCCTATAGCCTTTTTTTGCTCGCGAAGTATTCTAAGCAATTTTTCTACTTGTACATTAGTCAAGATGAATGAGATAATCACTGGCAATGTCTCAGAGTTTCCCAAATAAGCATAGCGCAAATGCGCTGGAAGGGGCTTAAGTTCTAGCTTTGGAGCTTCTTCAATAGATGGCTTAGGAGGGGTCAGAGTGATAGGCTTGTCCAACTCCTCAAATCTCTCAAACCCATGTACATAACTACAAGATATGTCAAGTACTTTCTCAATTTCTCCCATTATCTCATCTTCACTTTCTTCTTCATCCCCAATTAACGCTCGTTCAAGATGATCTATGGGGCTCATATAAGGCACCAATGACGTAGCAACGATTTCCACCACAGAAATCATGGATAGCTCTTCATAGTGGGCTGGCAATCTGAGTGCTTTATACACATTGAATATCTCCACTCGATCACCTACTATCATCGTCATCTTTCCTTCGCATACATCAACAATATCTCAGCCCGTGGCTAAGAATGGACGCCCCAAAATAAATGGGATTTCTTGATCAGGCTCGTAGTCCAAGATAATGAAATCAGTAGGAAATATAAAAGAACCCACTTAAACTAATACATCTTCAATCACTCTATCAAGTTGAGCAAGGGAGCGATCAACCAACTCTAAGATTACCGTTGTTGGGCGCGGCTCACCCAACCCCAATTATCTGAACACAGATAGCGACATCAAATTGATGCTCGCTTCAAGATCACACAAAGCTCGCTTGACTACATGCTTACCAATCGATATTTGGATAGTGAAACTACTCGTATCCTTCAATTTCTGAGGTAGCTTGCTTTGAATTCTTGAGCTACATTCCTTAGTGAGTGACACAATCTCAAACTCGGTCAACCTCCTTTTATTTGCCACTATGTCCTTAATGTATTTAGCATATTTGGGCACTTCTTGCAGGATGTCTACCAGTGGAATATTGATTTTCACATGCTTCAAAATATCAAGAAACTTTGTATATGCGGCATTATCCTTCAATTTCTGCAATCTTTGAGGGAATGGGGGTGGTGGCTTCGCAACTAATGGTGGGGGTTTCTTAGCCACCACATCTTCAGCTGGCTTTTCTGAATCCTTTAATTTTCCCGATTATGCTTCTGTGGTGGCCGACTTCTCATTAAAGGTCACCTGTTTTTTCTCTTTTGACTGGACTTCCTCTAACTGTCTCTCATTCCTCAATTACATAACATTAATAGATGCCTTAGTATTAGCCTCAGTGTCGCTTGGAAGAGCTCCAACTGGTCGAGTATTTTGGGCGCTGGCAAGTTGCCCCATTTGTTGCTCCAATTTTCTCATCGCTGCTGCTTGGGCCTGCTGGTCAGCCATCAATTTCTCAATCATCTCTGCTGCTTGGGCCTGCTGGTCAGCAATTAATTTCCTCATCATCTCCTCAAGGTGACTCATCAAGTTTGCATGTTGTTCAACGTGAGGTGGTCTATATTGTTGTTGAGGTGCTTGTGGCATGTACTGATTTTGAGCACCTTGGTATCCACCCCAAGAGAAGTTTGGGTGATTCCCCCAGTTAGGATTGTAAGTGTTCCCATACTGGTTTGTCTGGCCCCTATTTGCATTACCCACAAAACAGACAAACTCTGGATTAACTGGGCATAAGTCGTTCGTGTGACCCTCTCCACATACTTCACAAAACAATTGAACCTGTTGCACTGGCTAGGTTTGTTGCTTGTTAATAACCAAGGTCATCTGATTGATTTGGTTGGTAAATGTGGAAATCTGCACTGAAAATGCAAAGACGACATCTAACTCGAGAACCCCTGCAGATTTTTGCACTGTGTGTCTGCCCATCTCTCCTTGCCAATCAGGATTGCTTTTGGAGAATTTGTTCAATAACACATATATCTCATCAAAGCTTTTCTCCAACACTTGACCTCCAGCTACAGCATCTACCACACTCTTTGTCTCAGAATGAAGTTGTCACGACCCGAAATTTCTCACCAATGGGACCGTGACGACGCCTAACATTTCACTTGTTTGGCAAGCCAACGTTAGAGAATCATTAAACCAATTCCTTATTTCCATTCGGTAATTAATAATAATTAACTAAGATGAAATATAATAAGTGCGGAATATCATAAAACTGTAATAACTACTACCACCCGGATCTGGAGTCACAATTCACGAGCATTCTAGAATTTACTACAAGTAATAGCCTGAAAGAAATACAACTGTCTGAATGAAAGAAAACAGTAGGACATAAAAGATAGACGGGGACTTCAAGGTCTGTGAATGCCGATAGATCTACCTTGAGTCTCCGGACAGCGGACCAGTAGCAAATTTCGATCAGCCAGAGCTGGTATCAAAATCTGCACAGAAAGTGCGGAGTGCAGCATCAGTACAACCGACCCTATATACTGGTAAGTGTCGAACCTAACCTCAGCGAAGTAGTGGCGAGGCTAGGACAAGACACCCACATATAACCTGAACAATAGAATCCTGCTAGTGACAACAACCGTAAATAAAGAAATAACATAGAAATAATGGGAAGGAAACATACAGTAGGGGAATACAACATAAAGAGTGAGAATAATGAAAATACAGAATTAAATCGAAAATCCTTAAACGAATTGAGCAATTAAAACAGCAAGGAAAACTGCACGGCATTATCTTTCCTGCTTTTACTCTCAACCTCAACAAATAAATAAATAAAACGGCACGGCATCACCCTTCATGCATTAAACCTCTCATAATATACACGGCATCACCCTTCGTGCTTTAAACCTCTCATAATATACACGGCATCACCCTTTGTACTTTACGCTCTTCCTCACAATATAAATAATACATGCACGGCATTACCCTTTGTGCTTTACACTCCGCCTCACCAATTACAGAATCAATAACAACGGATACATAAGAGTATCACAAAGAAACTAGTATTTTACCAATAATCAATAGCACAATGTAATATCTGCCTTGAATCAATATTCGAAAGTTATCAAATCTCAGTGAAACCAGATATGAGTCACCCAACATTTCAAATGACCCGCTAAGCATGGATAGTAGAATTTAAGGCTACAAAATAGAGAAGAATAGAATTTCACTCGCATGCTATGACTCGACAACGACGCATAGATGCTCGTCATCTCACCTATACATCGTATTTAACAACCAAACACGTAGCAAATGAACACATAATACCTATTCCCTCAAGCCAAAGTTAGACACGACACTTACCTCAATTTTGCAAGCCACTCACTGCTCAAGTACCGCTTTCCCTTTAGAATTCACCTCCAACCCACTCGTATCTAATCATAATTAGTTTAATATCATCAACTATCGCTAAAGGAATCAACTTTAATGAATAATTATAGATTTACCAAATTTTCCACCAAAAAGTCGAAAATCAACCCCGGGGCCGCTTGGTCAAAACTCGAGGTTCGGACCAAAGTTCATTTACCCATTCACTCCCGAGCCCGAATATGTAATTGGTTTTGGAATCCGACCTCAAATCGAGGTCTAAATCCCCAAATTCCCGAAATTCCTAGTTTCTACCCTAACTCCTAATTGTACCATGAAAACTCTAGATTTTAGGTTGAATTCTTGTAAAATGAAGTAAATGATTGAAAGAAACGAGTTAAGGCACACTTACCTATGATTTGGGGAAGAAAATATCTTTGAAAAATCGCCCTAGGTCTCCTATTCTTTTGAAACGAGAAGAAAAATGGATGGAGTCCGAATTAAATGAACTCACTACCCATCGACTTTCGCACCTGCGGTACTTTGGTCGCACTTGCGCATCCGCACGTGCGTACAGGACATGCGCTTCTGCGGAAAAGGACTGGGCCAACTGGAGCCGCACCTGCGGACAGGGTTCCGCTTCTGTGGTCCCGCTCCTACGGAGAGAAGTCCACATCTGCGGAAAAATGAAGTCCAGGCCTGGGTCGTACCTGCGGGGCTATCGCTCGCACATCCCAGCTCGCATCTGCGACCAAAGGCTCGCAGGTGCGAGCACACCAGATTTGGTACACCAGCTGCCTTGTTGAGGTTTGAACTCAAGTCGCGCATCGCCCGAATGGCACCCGAGCCCTCGGGGCTCCAAACCAAGCATGCACCCAAGTCTAAAAACATCATACGGACTTGCTCGCGTGATCAAATCGCCAAAATAACACCTAGAACTACGAATTTAGCACCAAATCAAATGAAATTCTCAAGAACACTTTAAAATTTCTATTTTCTCAACTGGACGTCCGTATCACGTCAAATCAACTCTGTTTCTCACCAAATTTCACAGATAAGTCTTAAATATCATAATGAACATGTACCGGGCTCCGGAACCATAATACGGACCCGATACTAACAATGCCAAATATCAATCAATTCTTAAAAACAAATAATTTCCAAATTTTTAATTTTTATAAAAAATTCATAACTCCAGCTAGGGACCTCCGAATTCGATTCCGGGCATACGCTCAGGTCCCATAATTTGATACGGACCTACCGGGACCATCAAAGCACAGATCCAGGCCTGTTTACCAAAAATATTGATCGAAGTCAAGTAAAATAAACTTTTAAGGTAAAAATTCTTATTTTCATTAGTTTTCAACATAAAAACTTTCCAAAAACCTGCCCGGACTGCACACGCAAATCGAGGAGGGTAAAAAAATGAGATTTTTAAGGTTTAAGAGCACAGATTTGAGTTCTAAAACATAAGATGACCTTTTGGGTCATCACATTCTCCACCTCTAAAACAACCGTTTGTCCTCGAACGGAGATAGAAAAGTACCTAGGCTGGTGAAAAGGTGGGGATATCTACTCCGCATATCGGACTCAGACTCCCAAGTAGCTGCCTCAATAGGCTGACCTCTCCACTACACTCGAACTGAAGGGTAACTCTTTGATCTCAACTGGCAAACTTCCCGGGCTAGAATTGCCGCCGACTCCTCTTCGTAAGTCAAATCCTTGTCCAACTTGACAGAGCTGAAATCTAACACATGGGACGGATCACCGTGATACTTTCGAAGCATGGACACATGGAATACTGGATGAACAGCTACGAAACTAGGTGGCAACGCAAGCCTGTAAGCCACCTCTCCCACTCTCTCCAGAATCTCAAAAGGTCTGATATACCTAGGGCTCAACTTGCCCTTCTTTCCGAACCTCATTACACCCTTCATGGGTAATACCCGAAGTAACACTCTCTCTCCAACCATGAATGTAACATCACGAACTCTACGATCGGCATAACTCTTCTTCCTGGACTGAGCTGTGAGAAGTCGATCCTGAATCATCTTGACCTTATCCAAGGCATCCTGTACTAAGTCTGTGCCCAACAACCGAGCCTCTCCTGGCTCGAACCACCCAACTGGCGACCGACATCGCCTACCATATAATCCCTTATAGGGAGCCATCTGAATGCTCGACTAGTAGCTGTTGTTGTAGGCAAACTCTACAAGGGGAAAGAACTGATCCCACGATCCTCCAAAGTCTATAACACAAGCGCGGAGCATATCCTCTAAGCTCTGAATAGTACGCTCGGACTGCTCGTCCGTCTGAGGATGAAATGATATGCTCAACTCAACCCGCATACCCAACTCACTCTGAACTGCCCTCCAAAAGTGCGAGGTAAACTGCGTACCCCGATCAGAAATGATAGATAAGGGCACACCGTAAAGACAAACGATCTCACGAATATAAATCTCTGCTAACCGCTCCGAGGAATAGGTAACTGCCATAAGAATGAAGTGCGCTGACTTAGTCAGCCTGTCCACAATAACCCAAACCGCATCAAACTTCCTCTGAGTCTGTGGGAGTCCAACAACAAAATTCATAGTGATACGCTCCCACTTCCACTCAGGAATATCTAACCTCTGAAGTAAACCACCAGGTATCTGATGCTCACACTTTACCTGCTGGCAATTTAGGCACCGAGCTACATAGACAACTATGTCCTTCTTCATTTGCCTCCACCAATAATGCTGCCTCAAGTCCTGATACATCTTGGCGGTGCCCGGATGAATAAAATATCGGGAACTGTGGGACTCCTCAAGGATCAACTCACGAAGTCCATCCACATTAGGCACACAAATACGACCATGCATACTCAAAACTCCGTCATCGCCAATAGTAACATGCTTGGCACCACCGTGCGCACTGTGTCTCTAAGGACAAGTAAATGAGGATCGTCATCCTGCTGATANTGAACAATGGCTGCCAGCTCTAGATCATGAACAGGGTAATTCTTCTCGTGAACCTTCAGCTTCCGGGAAGCATATACAATAACCTTGCCACCCTGCATCAATACCGCACCCAGACCAATACGATATGTGTTACAATATACTGTATAAGATCCTGAACCTGTGGGTAACACCAATACCGGTGCCATGGTCAAAGCAATCTTGAGATTCTGAAAGCTTGCTCCACACTCGTCTGACCACCTGAATGGGGCGCCCTTCTGGGTCAATCTATCAACGGGGCTGCTATGGATGAAAACCCCTTCACAAATCGACGGTAATAGCCTACCAAACCCAAGAAACTATGGATCTCTGTAGCTGATGTGGGTCTAGGCTAGTTTTGGACTGCCTCAATCTTCTTAGGATCCACCTG